CAGATTGGACTTGAAGCCAGGAGCACATTTCCATTGAAAGTTAAAACCCCCAACAGATATCGACAAGCTAAATGATTATCACAATCCATGCAATCTTCCAGCTGTAAACTTCTGCTAAACCTATACATGAAGCATTTATTAATGTGAGAAATCTTTAAAAAGAAAATAAAAATGTGTGATACTTTGAAATGCAGAATGAAATACTTCATCAAGAACATCTCTGCAATTCTCACTCCATCTCCACTGACTTCAGCACCAAATAACTGAACAGTTACACTGGGGAAAAAAACAGAAAGAAAGAAAAATAAAAAGGGCTTTTGTGCGAGACTCCGCTTTGAAAAACTACTAAGAGTGTAATGGATGCATAAACGCACTCTCCAAAAGGTCAGCACGGTTGCTAATGTAATGAAAACGCTGTTGATTGCTGCTTTTATGTCAAGGAAGCCAGAGTGAGTTTGGCCAGTTTAATAAATGATCGGTGTCGTCGCCGGTGCCAGAGCTGCATACCAAGCAGCGGCGACGGCAGATAGTAACAGCTAGGTACGGGGGCTCAGGAGAATGACATTTTCACAGAGATGTACAGAAGAATAAATGATAAGCACGCGAAAACAGAAGCTGGGCTCATTAGACGAGAGCTGCCATTTTGAAAGGACAGATTTTAACAAAGGGCAACTTGAGGTGGAGCGATGACATTCTCTTTTGCTGAAGCCTCTTTATTAACTACAGATTTCTGGGCAAACATATCCGATATCTGCCGAGCATTCCCCACGGGGTATGGTGTCCTTACTGTCAGCCGGATCGCAACGCTCAGACTCACGTTCAACATACCTAAAGTCTTTTCTTTAAAAATATATATATTTTTTATATTATTATTATATTTTTTTATGACTCGTTATCTTATGTGCAGCACTTTGTGATTCTGTCTAGAAAGGTGCTATATAAATAAAATTGTATTTATTTATTTATTATTTTGGGTTCATTATTTTAAAATAAAAAGCGCCGTAAGGTGACGGCTGTTGTTATTTAGCACATAAATAAAACTGATTTAAATTAAACTGAAAAAAAATTATTATACATAGAGGAAATTCTGCAGTTGTAGCCAGAACCGCAGAACAAGAAATGTAACAATGGAACAGGCACTTCTGCCTCTACTGTGTGCAGGTCAGCCATACGGCCATGTTGAAGCTCTTGCCTCCATGAAAATGGCCCTACACAGCCTTTTCAGATGAACTCTGTGAGCTGACATGAAACATTAAAGTTGTAAATCTTGTCACTGGGTCAGGCCTATCTGATTTAACACTTTGATTTACACAGCAGCATCAGGTGGGGTTTAATGTGGGCTGCTAGCGCTCCTCGAGTATTTAATTTGTCATAAACACAGCAGAAGAACTGATTTATTTGCTTACAGAGCAGCCATGCAAACTCACACTGCAGTTATGCATACACAGGTTGTTAGAATACAAGGCAGGAATGTTGGACTCCACCAGTAACAGTGCAAAGAACTTCAAAGAAAGGTATGTAGAGAGTATAAACCACTGAATAGCTTTTGCTTAACAAAAACAAAACACTCTTTTTAAATAAATCTCAAGGATTATATTTAAGAGCACGTTTGCACCCATGGATTGAAAAGAATCATTAGCTGAATCCAAAGTTACAGCTATGCTTTTTTCCATCACTGAGGCTGAAGAACATAAAGGACAAAGATAAATGCCAAAATGTTAGTTTCACCAAAGGGACCCACCACACACACTGACATGCTGAAGTCAAACAAAAACCTGATTTAAGAGACGGAAAGTTAGACCATCAACCATTCACGACTGATAAAACAAGTCTGCTAGTCTAGTTGTTCAGAGGCTGAACTAACAAAGTAGCAAAAGAGAAGAACAGATGATGTAAAATAGCCCAACAAGACGTCCCTAAACAAGGGCAAGCAGGCCCCGTGTATCCAACGGACCCTGAACATAGATGAGACTATTCTGACTAAGCCTGCTCAGTGCATGCTCAGGAGTAAAAGCTTTAATGTCATCGTTAAACAAATCAACAGCATCAATGTGACATGAGTCAAACTGCAAATGTGATTAGGCATGCTTGAGGTCATCACTCCCCTTTTCACCCTGACAAGTAATTCATACAATGATCATCTATAATTGCATACCCACATAAGAACATCGTCACTCAAACAGTTTACACTACACCAATTATCTTTGCCAGCTTTCTCAGCCAAACAGTGATGCTTAGTTACCAATCTGGCAACCAGCTCCAAACATTTGTTTCAGGCCCTGAGAGCCACGTTACAAAAAAAAAAACAACAAAATTAATTCCAGGTGACCAGCTGGGAGCTGCCCTGGGAAACAAACGAAGAGTAGAGACAGAGCTTCACGAGGTCAGTGCAGCATTAAAAGCAACCAGAGCTGGTTTATCTCAGAGCGACTCTGGAACGAGCATCAAGGGATAGCCGCAGCTTCAGAATTTTGAACCTAAGCTGTATTACGTTTGATGAATGTAGCTTTCGTTGCACAACTTTCACTGTTTTCCCTCCACCTGCATTACAAATAGTCTGTTCACTTAGCAGCTTTTGCATAAAATACTTTTTTAAAGG